AAAAAAGTCAGCAGGAGCCATATGTGGTGAATATGGTGGTTGCTGGATGGTATTTGTTGAGTGTTTGGTCAAAAATTCGTTCACCTTGATGCCACCAATGATAGTCTAGTGCGAAGGCGCTTTCTCGTGGTGCAAAATCCAAGAATTTTCTTTCCACAAAACTGGCCTTTTTCGTAGAATTTGCTCTCTTCAACGCCGCATAAAGCTCATATAATATTCTTTATTTACCGTTAGACCTTCCGGTAAGAATTCAGAGTGCACAACAGCGCGATAGTCAAAGAAAACAGTCAACATGACTTTGACTTTTGATCGACTTTGCCGTGGTTTTTTCGGTTTCGGTTCAGTTGGAAGGCGCTACTCCGAAGCTTGTTGACTAGTTTGCATGCCAAACTCATAAACCCACTTCTCTTCACCAGTAACAATGTGTTTCATGAATGTTGGGTCCAAACTGACTCGTTCTAGCATATCCTCAGCGACTTTCATGCGATTGAGATTTTGGAGAAAATTTAGATCTTTTGGAACTAGTCGAGCAGCAACATGTTTCATACCCTTTAATGTATAGTATAGATTAGTTAAAATGGTACGGATCGACTCGTGACATACAGAAAGTTCGGCGGCTATCTCTCTCAGAGTTGAATGGGGATTTTCAGTCACTATTTCCTTCACTTTTGCGATGTTAACTACAGTTGCAGACCAGAGCGAGGCAAATCTTCCACCAAGTTTTTGAACGCTTTGAACCACTCATAACGATGAGATGATAACGAGTTTTTGATAAAGTCGATTCACCGTAAGCTTTCTGTAACATTTTTAGTGACTCCGAACACGAAATTCCATTGGCGATGCAAAATTTAAGACATACTCTTTGATCGATATTTGTGTCCATTATGAAATTCACAATATACATTATATATGATATTTCTGAAACCAGCGCTGTATTTAATAATTTAATATAAATAACAGATGCAACTCAAACTCCGCGCCAAAATGGAAAGCACATGTGCCAATCTAACAACTACATAAAAACAAAAATTTGGATTTGGAACCATAAACAAATCATCCATTCCCGATACTTTTTTGAGTGAATGTATGCGCATCACAAAGTACCTATTTATTTGGTTCTGAAAATAAAAATAGAATAAAATTATTATAAATGAAATTACCCGCCTATTGGGTTTTTTCCCACATAAAAACCGGGTTTTTTCCCAGTGCCCATCTCTACACCCGGGTGAGGCGGGAGGGAGTGTTAGACTCTTATTGACTAAAAACCACCCCGTTCCTACTCCTGCACTTCGAGCCGGAGCCCCGGTAACCCGTTCAGTCTTCCGCGGCTCCGTATCGGCATCGACCCTGTTAGGCCCCATCTGTGGTGCTCTGATGGCTCCTTGAACTGAGAAAAGCTCTACGCGCA